TTTTTTAGTTTAACACTGTTATAGAATATCATTAAAACTTTAGTTTTAATAAATTTACAGTTTGTAATTATTCTAAACGATTAAATAAAAATAAACATTTATTATTAAAATTAGGACAACTTTGAAAATGTATTATTATTAACCGGTTAATTAACCGGTTAACTAAATCAAAAATTAACCAGTTAATAATCGGTTAAGGTTTTTTTGCCGGTTCTAACCTCTACATGGATGAGACACTTACCTCAGCTGAACCTAAGCTTTGCCTCCGATGCATTAACCTGATTGTTTTTTGGATTCTGATGATCACCAGCGATCACTTTAGAAAGCACATAGTCTATAATATTTTGGATTTGAGTATTGTTAAGGTTTGAGATTGCATTTGCACTATAGGTAACTTGCTTTATTTTTTCCACGCCTACCGCATTAAATAGTTTATATAATTTTCTTGCCCTAGATAGTTGCTGACGTAGATTAACATCACTAATATCTGGAAGTAGTTTTTTAACTTCTTGGTATACTTGTTGTTTCGCAGTATTGATTTTAACTTTGTTGATAGTACGAATTTCATTAATTCTTTTGTCATAACTTTCTGCAAAGCCATACCAGTGTAAAATCTCCTCATAACCAAAACGAACAGCTTTTCGAAACATATAGACTATACACTCTGCTGTAACAGAAAATTGCTGTTTTTTATCGATTACTGGCGGAGTGAGCGGAATTTCTGTGTCTATACTAGTGGATGGGAGAGATAATTGTTGCATCAAGTCACGTTCTACTACCTGCTCGGAAGGAACAATGAAATCGTCATCTCCGGATGAATCATTTTTGGAAAAATTACAGTCCAACTGGTTATCCTCTATAGATTTGTCAATATTTTGATCATGAAAATTGTGAATTTTATTCACAAAATTTCCGATTTTTCCAAAATGCTCCGATCGCTTGGCTCTTCTGAGTTGTCATCGTCACTATCTGTTTCTGCTACGTACGCAGGTTCGGAGATGACGTCCTGGTTAACTGACTCACGCTGAATTTTCTTCTCCTTATTGCGCTGCCTTATCCTATCACTAACACTTTTCTTTTGCACCAAGTCCAAGAATTCATCGGTCTTTCTATCATCTTCGCAAAGTGAAGGGCTGGCAGGCACTGTTATCTCTGGTACAATAACGTTTGCTTCACAAACAGGCGTATGATGTTTGGGCTGAGCTATGTCTGAGTCAGGTACGTTGGCAGGTGATACCTCTGGCATCTGTTCTTCTTTGTTAAGCAAACCTTTTCATAAAAGGAACCATCCATTTTCTCATCCGCCAATGATTCCCCGCGATCCTCTGCAACAAAATTGAAGTTAGATGAACTGTTGTTACTGTTGTTAGAAGAATTGGTTACCTTGGTAACATTATCATTTTGCATCTGTCTCCGTTCCACTTTCGTGATTCTATCTCTAAACTCAGCATTTTCAGACTCAAGTTTAGTGGTAACTGTCTTATTTTTCTCTAACTCTATGATTCTGGCGGCATTCTCAGCATCACGCCTCTTATTTTCTTCCACACCCTGTTTTAAAAGCTCGGCAATTCTGGCCTTAAGTTCAGCCTCAATCTCAGCGAACTTCCTTCTAAGTTCAGGGATTTCAGTATTCTTATCCTTAAGCTCATCATTCTCCTTTTCAAAGTTCAGAAATTTTAACATTCTCCTTCCTAAGCTCGGCAATCTCAGCTAAGAGCTTGGCATTTAATTCTCTCAATGAATCAATAGATTGCATGTTCGATAATAATTTTTTATATAAGATGGAATAATTCAAAAGTTCGTTAGCATAGATAATAAAAACCGTGACAAATTGTCACGATCGAATTACTGTTTTATTGATGTAAAAAAATAAATTACAAGATTCGAAAATACATAAATGTTATACAAAGTGAAGTCTATATACTAATCCTGCTGGTGTTTCGTTCATCCAAAGCTAAGCTATCTATATACTAACACAATATTCTCAACTCTAATCCGATTTCATTTGTCCCCAACATCGACATTCTGGATATAATAAAATGGTCATCAGTTATATGAGACATGCAGTGTCATACCTTAGAAAAAGCCCCGCCGGAAATTTATCCTCCGTGAGGTCCTCGAAATCCTGACGAAAAATAAGTATTAGTTTGCAAACTCTCTAAAGTCGCTTCTTTGCAAATGGCCAAACCTTAATTTGAGTAATGTTACACGAACTATCCCGATCAATACGATTTACAAAATATTTTCTATATAAAAAGCTTATAAATACAGAATACCAGAATGGCAAACAGGAAAAAATTGCAAGAGTTGTACAGCAAAGTGTGTGTTGCCGGAAGTGTCATTAGCGAAGAAAGAGAGGAAGAGGAAAGAGATCTGGAAGTGGATGAAATATTTTCTTGTAATCTAGCAACAATATTGGCAAGAGACCATGAAGTGGTAGCAGTAAGATTGAAACTTTTTTCCGATAAATGTGTTGTTTATATTTCTAAAAACGAAAGGTGGGAAAAAGAAGATACAGAATATATCAAAAAAATCAAGGAATATTTAAAAAGTATATCTAGAAATGCTCCCATACCGTTGGATACGGCATTTAAAAGAAATGATTTGAAGGTTTTATTCAAAACTGTAAAGAGATACTGTTTAGCTAAGTTCGAAACTAGACTTGAAAAGCTTAAGAAGGATCTAGTTGGAGAATCACAAAATCCACATATTTTATCTTTCAAAGAATTTGCTAACATTAATGATGTAATTGAAGTACGTGGATACAAAATATCTGGCATTTGTAGCAGGTATTATAAAACAGTCAAAGATAAACCTGAAATTCCGAAAAAATTTCTAAGACATCTCAAAAAGGTGGGATCTTACTATTCAGCTTTGGTCGATATCACGGCATGCGCCTGTAATGTAAAGTACAAAAACCAATTTTCTAATATGGATGTAGTTACGTTGAAGCCTGTTTCAATTAATCGTCAACCCATTTTTTCATGGGCGAATATTATTCAAAAGTTTGTTCATGTTACCAAAGAGTATGAAAAATTCAAGAAAAGGTGTTTAGATGATGATGATACATTGAAAAAATTAAAGGAAGTATATAAGACAGATACAAACGGCAATCCACAATTGGACAGCGAAAAAATTGAACAACGCTTATGTTTACATGCGGAAATGAACACATTGACCAATATTATAGACAGTAAAGATAAAAAACCGACGTTTATAGCGGTATCTAAGTATTGCTGTTACTTATGTGAATTATATATCAAATTTGCAAATACCAAAGGATACAATATCTTCACTTCTGGAGCACATAATAAGTTGTATCATAAATGGGTACTTCCAGATACAAAGGATGTCACCCTCAAAAACGATGCCCTGAAATATATGATAGCAGAACTTGATCGGATCATAAGGAAAGAATTACGAGAAAAGCACATTGATATTAGGGCGAGATCTGATAGTGAAGGAGAAAGTGTTGATTCCGATAATGCTAAACATATTGATCATTCAGAAGTTGATGATTTGATGGAAGACTCGGATAACTAGATCTTTGTATTCTACCATATGTTTTTTGTCAATAAAGATGCTTAACAATTTTTCATTAAAGTTGTATGGACCATACATTTAAAAAGCTAATTATCAATTATTGAAGTAGTGGTCTCGAACTCTAACTCATAAATGAGAAATAAATTAACTAATTTCTATATATACCTGTTCGTTTGATTGATGATATGGTGCAAAAGTAAGTTAGGTAACATTACTGCGCGTTTATTTTTCAGTTCAGATTCGTATAGGACGCGATCCAAGTGGGACCTTAGGTCTCACTTTTTATTCACTATATCCCACGCTTGATACAATGTATAGCCTTTTCAGCCGAATTTTTCAATTCGTAACAGCCCGTCAGCATGGATGATAACAATACAAATAAAAAAAATCACGTGCACGTGAACCGCCGATCACTTTTGCCAAGAAAAATTTATTATTACATGCGAAAAAAAAATACATAGTTTGGGACTGCACCATGATACATGACGTCTATGCTAATACTCGATTCTATTATTCTGTTTTTACCCACTTCAATAAACCTGTGATTCGATCTGACTATCAAACACCCACTTGATTTCCCAAACAAGTTTTCGACAGGCTTTACCAAGTTCTCACAGGTTAAAACAGTTATTATATTAATTGGTAGTGGTGAGGGCGACAGAGAACTCAGTTGATACAATCCCATACATTACATCCTCATGTAAACCTGCCATATCATAACTACTTTTTTAGGATTGCGCTGGATGGATGTCTTCAATTGGACTGCATTCTGTGCAATACCTTGATTGATGTCCTCTTTTTTGCCTTGGTAATTGTGATGATTGTATTTCCCACTTTTATTACCCAATCAACTGGTCCTTTGCCATGACTTTCAGAAATTTCATATTAGAGATAGACTTTCACCTTACCACTAAAGATTGATGCAATGCCATAAATAATATGGGAAATAAACTCGTAACGAGTGGCTTCATTGGCACTAGTGATGTTTTGTATAATCTCAATAATTCATCTATAACCAAATTTCGTATTTCTTCTGAAGTATCCTTGAAACCTCCCTCAAAAAGTGGTAATTCGTTATAATCATCTGCATTCAAGCTGAAGACTGCCTTCATCTTAGGAAAATATACAATGAGAAAGATTGTTGCGTTACAAAAATAGCTATGCATAAATTAACTGATCAGACATTTGGTAGAATCAGCACGTGAATATTCTAAATATCTTGATAATATTTACACAACTTTGGGTTAGCAGTCTAGATAATGCTCAATAAATCCTCATCAGAAACTGAATAACTTTATGTTCTGACAAAATCTCAATCATATCACTTTCTACTGTCACACTCTAGAAGTTTGAACTTACCTGGTCTAATTTTTTACGTATTTTACTTGTTGAAATTTTCTCTTCAAGCTAGCACCACCTATTACATAACCTATTACGATATGCCCATTTTCTGTCTCATTCAGAAATGTGAAATATACAAAGCTTCTACTTAAAACCTTTCAACGTCACCATTTCTCTAGTAACTGTCTATTAAAAATTTGCATTCTTACGCTCATACGTTGTGATGTAATGAATTTCTTTCATTTCAACAGGACGTTATATGATGATATTTATGTGTTCATCAGCTAGCTGAGAGAAAACGTGTTTACTAATCTTTGAAAGAGGTGGAAGTTCTTTACCACCAAAGTCCTTCTTGATATTAACATTTAATTTTGTGTTGATTACAGTTAATCTTTTTTAAAAAAATATTAACCTTTCATAACTTGATGTCTTTAGTGTCAATATTAGCAAAAGCTTGTATATTTTTTTCCTTGATAGCGTCTCTGAGTTCACTAACTGCTTCTATTTTATTAACTTATATTAAAAGCATTTTCATAAGGGTTTTTTTCACTTATAACCAAACAGCTAAGTATGATAATAGATAAGTGCTTTTATAGGAATATTTGGTTCAGATAAAAAAATGTTTTACATCTGGAGTGAGATAAAAATTTATTTCTGTTTGGGAATACTGACGTTAATATAGGTTTTTATGTCACACGGGCATTTCTTCATTTCATGTGATTCATTTTTCATATACGTTCGATAAAATAATACTTTATTTATAAAATAAAAGAAATAAAAAAATATTGTCTGAAGTCAGCTTACAATACATAAAAACTATTACATAGCATGATACAAGTAAAAAAAATACTAATTATCCCTAGATTTCATGAGAATGTGAATTTGATCCTAAACAAGAGGCTTATCAAAATACTTAGAGATCTCTTCTTCTGATTCTATGAGTTTATTTTCCTTAGTATTGTTTACGTATAGATTGAAGTTGAGAGAAAGAGCTTGGTAATCTTGATTTGCTAATAGAAATTTAACAATTTAACAGCAAATTTGAAAATAGTAACCTTATCTTTCTTGCAAGGTGAAATTATATAAGCTCATCATCCTAGAGGCAACACTTAAAATTGATAATACTCTTGTGAGTCATTTTTGCTTTCTAAATACAAGAAACCATAGTGAGGAAAATTCATCCTATGATCTTTAAGAATTGGAAATGTGACACAGTAAAAGTGATCTACAAAAATCAATGACAATGATCTGCAAAAGTGATTTATGAAATTAACAATATAAATTATATTCTCTATATCTTTTCAAATATATATCTATTATAGTTATAGAACTATTGCATAGCGATTAGGTAGTCATTACTTAATTATTACAACAAAATTATATAGAGAAAGATGAGGAAATCATTACATAGTTTTTATGCAATAGATAGCAATTTAGTATAAAAATTTTGTTATAAATAAGCCGAGTTTTTCATTATATATCGATAGAAAATTTAGGAAGATTTTATAAGATAATAAAAACTCTTTACTAAATTGTCTCATAACAAATAATTTGCTTTGTGTCAAACCTGTTTTATGTTGTTAGCTGCAAGTTTAACATTATTAAAAGATCGTCAAAAATTGATCTTTAAATTTATAGTCGACTTATTTGACAAATATGACAGATTAGTCATATTTGACTGATGATCCATATTTAACATATTAATTATATTTGTTATATTTGTTATATTTGATAGATTTATTTTATTTATTATATTTATTATATTAGATATATTTATCATATTATATTACTATT